TCCCTTTTCCCAGCATGGGGTAGAGGGTCAGGGAGATGAGAAGGAGGGCAAGAAATGACTGTCACTATGTGGTGCCCTTTGTTTTTGGCTGCATCTCGCAGCTTTCGGGATCTTAGTTCCCCGACCAGGGATCAAACCCATGTCCCCTGCAGTGAAAGCGCAGAGTCCTAACCACTGGACTGCCAAGGAATTCCCTACATGGTGCCTTTTTATTTTATTTTTTAAAGCTTTAATTTAATTTATTTATTTTTGGCCGCACCACACAGCATGTGGGATATTATTTCCCCACCTGGGGATCGAACCCGTGCCCCCCGCATTGGAAGCGTGGAGTCTTAACCACTAGAACACCAGGGAAGTCCCCATGGTGCCTTTTTAAAGGAACACTAAAAGTGCTGTTTTTCATAATGGATTTACTTTTTTCTTCTTAATTCCTTTACAGTTAATGCATTGCTTTTTTTGAAGCTTGAAAGAAATCTTCGTTTATTCAGTTTACACTTTTCTATAAATAATTTTTAACTTCTGACATAAGCTCTGGCGGCCTTCTATAGCAGCTCATGGCATTCTTTTCAAAGTATGACATATTTTCATTAAAAAAAAATTTGACTACGTAATTCATTAGATTTTCTTTTTCTTCAATTTTTACACTATTTCCCTTTTAAATTGTGTCCAGTACAGACTGAGGCCTGCAGGCTCTCTGCTCTTTGTTAGAAACATTCTTTGGACTCTAGTAAATAAATTTAGTTTCTTCCAATGTATACTTTGGTAAGGATGTCAATGATCTTTTGTCTTAACAGTCTAAACCTAGTTTAACCTGCTACTGTAAAATTCCATTTTTTAAATTTTTATGTGACCTATTAAAATAGTGAGCTGTGAGCTACCAAGTAGATGTTTCCCACAAGTCCCTCTTGTCCACTCTCTGCAAACGTTGAAGGGTGGTCGGGATTGACCTGGAACCTTCTTCCAGCAGAGCCCAGCAGTTCATGATGGAGAAATTTGCTCAGAGCTTATTTCTGTAGGTGACCCTCTAGCAGTGCTGTCAGCAGCAATTGCTATGTTCAGAATTATGTATTTTGTAAATGTTTTACTGTGATTTTTCTGGAAAAGAGGAGTTCATTGCTCGAGATCAATGTGATCAAACCTTGAAATAGAAGTTTCCTTTGCTCAGGCATGTGAAAGATGGTACTGGAATTTTTTTTTTTTTAAGATTTTTGGATGTGGACCATTTTTAAAGTCTATTGAATTTGTTACAATATTGGTTCTGTTTTATGATTTGTTTTTTTGGCTGCGAGGCATGTGAGATCCCAACTCCCCGACTAGGGATCGAACCTGCACCCCCTGCGTTGGAAGGTGAAGTCTTAACCACTGGACCGCCAGGGAAGTCCCGGATTTTTTTTTTTTTTTTTTTAAAGGTCAAAGTGCGATGGGGAAAGAAAGTTTTTTTTGTTTTATTTATTTATTTATTTATTTTTGGCTGTGCTGGGTCTTCGTTTCTGAGCGAGGGCTTTCTCTAGTTGCGGCGAGCGGAGGCCACTCTTCATTGCGGTGCGCGGGCCTCTCACTGTCGCAGCCTCTCCCATTGCGAAGCACAGGCTCCAAACGCGCAGGCTCAGTAGTTGTGGCTCACGGGCCCAGTTGCTCCGCGGCATGTGGAATCCTCCCAGACCAGGGCTCAAACCCGTGTCCCCTGCATCGGCAGGCGGATTCTCGACCACTGCGCCACCAGGGAAGCCTAGTCCCGGAATTTTTAAGGGAGATCGATAAGGCTCAACTCTGCCCACTGGCCCCTCCAGGCCACCTTTTCAGAATTCAGTTCCGTCTGGTTCTGCTCACTCAGCTCAGATCTTCTCAGGGTAACCTGGTGAAATGACCCCCTCTCCGGGGCCCAGTGAGCCCACCTCAACGAGGAGATGATGGGCTTAAAGCAGCAACTCCGAATCTGAGTGTTACCAACCCCTGAAACGGTTAGTAAGATTCAGTGTGTGTCTGCATGTGGCAGTTCTTGGATGGAGTGCCCAGTTGCCATGAGAATTCTTTTAATGGGTCCTAATCCTCCAGAACGAGGGCGGAGGGGGGAAGGCTGGAAGCGGGGCATGGGCTCAGACAGCAAGCCCATCTGTAGCGGGCTTATCCCTGCCTTAGGGTTGTCAGGGGTAAGCCTGTGGGTAGATCGTGCCACTACCTGGCATTGAATCCTCCGTTAGCTCTCCTCATTCTGAGCACAAAATCCCGACTCCTCCCTGCGGCTGCTCAGCCCTGTGTCCTCAGGGCCCTGCCAGTGTCCCCAGCCTCATCCTGGGAGCTGACCCTGCTCTCATGGTTCACTCTGCCCCCGTCACATTTGCTGTTTCTCTGGTCCCAGACACCAAAACCTTTTCTGTCTTAAGTCCCTGCTCTCACCCTGAATCGTCCGGGCTCTGGCCCTTTCTCCTCCTTTAGGTCGAGGCTTAGAGATGTGTTGCCACCCCTCCAGGCCATTCATGTAAGGTTCCCTTCACCGGTCAATATCTGTCACGTTAACGCTGGTTTTATTGTCTCCAGACCAGTCACTCATATCAGAAATGCTCTTCTCTGTTGATTATTTTCAGTCATTCCCATTTCCTCTCCATTGGAGGGCACAGAGACTGTCTTGCTTACAGAACAGCTGCCGCCTCTTACATTGGGGTTGGGCTTCGATGCTAGGGCTGTGGGTTGGGCTGAGTACTCCTCAGGATAGATCAAGAGGCAGGGATGGGGATGGGTGCCATTTTGCTTCTGGAAATTTCAACACCAGTTAATCTAAACCTCCTGTGGTTCCTTATTTTACTCAAAAAGGAGCAAATCCCTGAGTACCTGGTGTCCTCACCCAGTGTGCTGAGGTGTCCCCATGTTCGGCCTGCTGTGTCATTGTCTTACTTTAACCCCCAGGTCTTCCAGACTGCGTGTCACCAGGGACCAGTTACCGTCTTGGGCAGGAGCTTTGCCTTCCACCAGGTCACCTTCTCAGAGTCAGGGACCTTAATTTCCCTTCAACAAGGGTGGGGAGAAGGTCAGGAACCTAAGGGGGCATGAAAGAGGCACCCACTTAATAGGTAGGGACTCTTGTAAGTTGCTGTGAGTGGGAGAAGACGAGACAATGGTAGCCTCTTCGAAGAGATCTGGGGCTTCTCTCTCTCCCTGTGATGTCCTCACTGAACTCACTACAGCCAATTTTCAGCTGTGGGTTTGGTTTTTTTTCTTATTTTTGGTCACACCCCTCGGCTTGTGGGATCTTAGTTCCCGACGGACCAGGCATTGAACCCGGGCCCTCGGCAGTGAGAGCTCGGAGCCCTAACCACTGGACCACCAGGGAATTCCCTCAATTGTTTTTAAACCGGAATGCGTGTTGTCCCCGGTTGCAGGCAGGTGTTCCCAACAGGGCTCACTTCGTGGCCTCCATACTGAAGGCCCAGTGTCCTTCTGTTTGCAGTTTTCATGCAGCACTGCACTGTCTGTGCCCAGAGGTCCCTGTGACTTTTAGTCCAGTTTGCTCGTGTGGAGGCGGAGTAGAAAAGGGGGGAAGCAGAGGGGAGCCCATAGGCATCTCCAGAAGGGCCGTGGAAGCTAGAGCGGGCCTCTAGATAAGCCCAATGAATAGTGTGTGCATCTGTCCCAAGTGTGTTTGCGGGATTAAAGGGGTGTGTGGAAGCGTTGGCAAGGGAGTCTAAGATCTGCAAAGAGCACGTGGAAATGGGTTAATGGGTAGTTACGGGGCTGCGTTTTGGGGTGCCGCTGTCTTAAGTCAGGTTCCCCGGGACACAGATGCCAAGACTGAGATTTGCATATGTGGGTTTAACGGGGAAACTCATGGGCACACTTGAGGAATGACGGAAGTGGAATTCGGCCGAGAGAAACGATATCCTGCAACGTTAGAACCAAGGCCTGAGCTGAGCCCATAGGGAGCTGTGGGTGCAGGAGGATGGGTGCCTTGGTCCTGAGGGGCTGGATCTAGCGGGTGCCCCCCAGCACCCACTCCACACGGTGACTTCCATGGGGTTTGCAGGAATCACTGCCCAACCCAGAGGATTTATAGGGAACGTCTCAGAGCATATTTGGGGGGTACCTTTGGTATCTGGGGTTATTTTGAGTCACAAGGCTAAAAGGTTTCCCACGCATTTTGGAAGACTCACGTGAGAATTCGGAGTGTTTCTGAAAGATGCTGGCGTCTCAGTGGGGCATGTGCATCCCTGTAGACATCTCTTTTTCTTTGGTAGATTTTGGTCGTGCCAGTGTTTGGGGTGGAGTCATCATGAATGAAAACATGATATCTTGTTTCAGTAGGTCCTTGGGTGTCTCTCTATGTGTTATTCCGTTGTGAATTCATGAGTTATTGGGGCTTGTGGGATTTCATAGCAGGAGCGGGGTTCGTCACGGAGTATCTGGGGAGGCTGTGAGACCCCATGGGAGTTTGTAAGAGCGTCTGATTCCAGAAGGGGAACAGCTCAGCTGGCAGACGGTTTTCATTAGGGAGAACTTACTGGGAGTCAGTAGGCAAAACACTATAAGAGAGCTTACAAGGGGGCCACGATGTAGGGAAAGAGCTGTGAAAAATCAGAGGGCAACGACACCCCAGCGAAACACCTGCAGCAGAAAGGCTCATCCTTGGGACTCTTTTTGTTTTGTTTTTTTTGAACTATAGTTGATTTATAGTTGTGTTAGTTTCAGGTATACAGCACAGTGATTCAGTTTTATACATATATACATAGAATATATATATATATATATACTTTTTCAGATTCTTTTCCCTTATAGGTTACTACAAAATATAGAGTATAGTTCCCTGTACTATATAGTGGGTCCTTATTGGTCATCTGTTTTATATGCAGTAGTGAATATTTTAATCCCAAACTCCTAATTTATCCCTCCCCGTCCTCTCCCTTTCAGTAACCATAAGTTTGTTTTCTTTGTGGGTCTATTTGTTTGGTAAATCAGTTCATTTGTATATTTTTCTTTTTTTTTTAGATTCCACATATAATCGATTTCTTTTTTTTCAGATTCCGCATATAACCGATATATCTGTCTTTCTCTGTCTGGCTTTACTTCACTTAGTATGAGAATCTCTAGGTCTAGGTCACACTCTCCTTGAAAAGATACAGCCTAGCTTCCTTGCTGCTAGGCCAGTGGGGATTACTCTCTACTGGTCACACATAGCGCCACCCACCCACCCACGCAGAGCCACAGTGCACCTGGGGGAGCAGAGAGGCCAGATGTTCCAAACTCACTTTGCAACAGGGATATATCTTCAGCAAGGAGGAGCACGAGGTCCTGGGTAGGCAGCTGGGGAGAGGATGGGGAATGCTGGCTTTCGGGGGCGACAGCCCTGATAGTGGCAGGGAGACTCGGGAATTGGAGAAGGGGAAGCTCTGTTCATCCTCACTGGGGGACCCTCTCTTCAGCAGTGACTAGTATAGAACAGGGTGAGCTGGTGGGCTCATATTCAGAGAAAGGGTATCTTCTTTCCGACCAACACACTTGCCCCCAGCACACCCTTCTCCCTCTCTCTCTGCTCTCTTCTCTAGAACAGCGAAGGTGATGCTTCCGCAGGTGAGTGACCTGAGATTGGAAACATGGTTTGTCTCTTTGTGCCTCTCCTGTGTCCCCTCCCTTCAGGCCTTCCACCTTCCTCTCTAATGTTCTGTTCAGAAACACACACTTCCTGCTGTTCAACCCTCAGTTTGCACAATCCCAAGACGCTTGGATTGGGGGCTGTGACCATTTAAGCCAATGTCATAGCAAAGTGAGAATTTACGCACCAGGACCCTTCCTCCACTGAGGAGTCTGGGCAGCCAGGAGGCCTCTTCTCTTTCTGCCGAGGATAGCCTCTTTCTTTGCTAACATGCATCTCCTCCTGTGGCAGCCGCCTGTGGATCGGCTCACTGCGATCCTGGTGGAACTTGCCCTGCCACCTTTCTAGAGGGAGGAGAGTGATTTGAGTGAAGGACTCTCAACTTGACCGTCCTCCTGCTCTGCTCCTGCTCAGCTCCCCCCTCACTTGTGATGAAGGCTAACCAGGCCCCCAGAATGAAGGCCACGCCAGAGGGCGTACAGGTGGCGCTTGCTGTGTGTCTGACCTGGCAGTCGTGCCCCAGTTGCCAGCCCCACGCAGTCTCCAGACAGTATGGCATCCTTCCTCCACTGCATCTTCAATTTGCCTGTCTCAGCAATTGCTTTGGTCGTTTGTTGTTGTCGTTTTTGTGTTGTTTTTGTTTGTGGTTTTTAATTGATGTATAGTTGATTTACAGTGTTGTGTTAGTTTCAGGTGTACAGCAGAGTGATTCAGTTATTCATATATATATATGTTCTCTTTCAGATTCTTTTCTGTTATGGAAAAGAATAATTCTGTTCACTATCTTGTACAAGATGGTGAGCAGAGTTCCCTGTGCTGTACAGCACGTCCTTGTTGGTCATCTATTTTAGACATAGTAGTGTGTATATGTTAACCCCAATGTTTTGGTCATTTGTAATGGTGGTATTGTCTATCTTAAACACACTCCCCAAATTTTTTATTCACTCCTTTCTTCCATCTTTAAAACAAGACATTCTCTATTAACTACATTTCCCTCTCTAGTAAGTACCCCTTTTCTGTGCTCCATTTCAGAGCACAAGGCCCTAAAAACTTGTTTATATTCTTCAGTTCTTCACTTGAACCTTATCCAATTAAGCTTTCACATCCTCCATGTCACTGACACTTTCTTTTTCAGAGTCACTGATGACCTCCTCGTTTCTTTTTTTTTTTAATTTATTTTATTGAAGTGTAATTGATTTACAATGTTGTGTTAATTTCTGCTGTAGAGCAAAGTGATTCATTTATATATATATATGTATGTGTATATATATATATACTTTTTCATGTTCTTTTCTGTTATGGTTTAATACAGGATATTGAATATAGTTCCCCTTGGCAATCACCAGTCTGTTCTCCATGTCCATGATTCTGTTTCTGTTTTGTAGATAAGTTTGTGTCATATTTTATTAATTTATTTATTTATAAATTATTTATTTTATTTATTTTTGGCTGCATTGGGTGTTTGTTTCAGCGCGCGGGCTTTCTCTGGTTGCGGCGAGCGGGGCCTACTCTTCGTCGCAGTGCACGGGCTTCTCATTGCAGTGGCTTCTCTTGTTGCAGGGCACAGGCTTTAGGCACGCGGGCTCAGTTGTTGTGGCTTGCGGGCTCTAGAGCACAGGCTCGGTAGCTGTGGTGCACGGGCTTATTTGCTCCACGGCATGTGGGATCTTCCCAGACCAGGGATCGAACCCATGTCCCCTGCATTGGCAGGTGGATTCTTAATCACTGCCCCACCAGGGAAGCCCCTTGTGTCATATTTTAGATTCCACATATAAGTGATATATGTTGTCTTTCTCTGACTTACTTCACTCAGCATGACAATCTCTAGGTCCATCCCTGTTACTGCAAATGGCATTATTTCATTCTTTTTTATGGCTGAGTAATATTCCATTGTGTGTGTGTGTGTGTGTGTGTGTGTGTGTACGTACACACCACATCTTCTCTATCCATTCATCTGTCAGTGAACACTTAGGTTGTTTTCATGTCTTGGTTACTGTGAATAATACTGCTATAAACATAGGGGTGCATGTATCTTTTTGACTTGTGGTTTTGTCTGGATATATGCCCAGAAGTGGGATTGCTGGATCATATGACAACTCTATTTTTAGTTTTTGAGAAACCTGGGTACTGTTTTCTATAGTAGCTGCACCAATTTACATTCCCACCAACAGTGTATGACCTCGTTTCTAAATCCAGTATTTAACTTCCTGTGCACATTTGCTTTTCCTGTCAGCAGCAGGTGGCACAGGTCCTCACTCCCTCTTCCTTGAAACACTTTCTTTCCATGGTTTTGAGGACGTCCCACTAACCTTTATAAGCCTATCTACCTATTTGTTTTATTTTCTTCTCCTCTCCCTGTTTACTTCTTAGCTCCCTCTGCTGAATTCCTGACCTCCCTGGTCTCTGAATGTGGGTGCATCCCAAGGCTGAGTCCTGGAACCTCTTCTCTGTCTTTACCCGCTGCCTTTCCTCATCATCTCATCATATGGCTTTCAACACCACCTACGTGTCTCGCAGTTTATCCTCTCCATCCAGACTTCTGCCTTAAACTCTCAATCCTGTGTCCAGCTGTCTCCTCGACATCTCTGCTGGGGACATCTAACAGGAATCTCCACCTTAATTTGTCCAAAACTGGTCTTGACCTCCCCCAACCCTGTTCCGCCTGCCGTCCTCCACATCTCAGTTAAGGGCGACCCTGTGAATATCTCGGCATTGTAAATGCATTACATTATTTGTAAGTGTTTTAATGTATAAGATAAAAGAAATATTAGGTGTTTACTTAAAGTGAGAGAAACAATACATAGTTTCTACAATTCTTTTGAGAGATGGGAGAAAAATGCTTGGAGACCAAGGCCCTTCGTCATCAGCTTCCCCCGGTGCCTCTCTGACCTCCCCTCCCGCCCACCTCCTCACCCTGCTGCAGCCACCCAGCCCTCTTTCCCTCTCCAGGGATGAAGTTTGTACTCTCAGGGCCCTCACGGGGGTGTCTCTCTGCCTAGAACTATCGGACTCAGGAGACGCAGGTGGCAAACACGCTTCCTCCCCCAGGTCTTTGGTCTGATGTCAGCGTCTGAGTGGAGCCTTCTCTGACCAGCCCCCTCCCATTTAACATGCCAGCCACACCCTCACCCGCACCTCTGGTCCATGACACTTGCTTGACGTGTTTTCTTCTGCCCCTTCCCCTTCCACGGCTGGGTCCTGGTGACAGCAATTCACCACGGGTCGAAAAGAGACAGAAAGAAGGTGGGAGACGGGCCCGGCTTGCCTCCCGGCTTCACGTTAGACGGATGAGGCATTTTGCAGATACGTGTTTTGTACCCCTCCCCCATCAAAGAGTCTTCGTCAAATTTAGTTGGGTGGGGCATAGCCCCAGAAATGTTTTAAAGTGCCCCCAATGATTCTGATCTGTGTCCTGCACTGAGCACCAGGGCTCTGTATCTTCCCTTTCTGAGGCTGAGATTAGCCCCTGGGAGAGGCAAGGGGATTCTGCTCTGCGTGGGGATGGATCAGGGCTGGTCTGTGACCTGCAGGGGATCGTCGGGTCCAGCTGAGGTGCCCGCTGCTGCTGGGTATGTGAGGGCCTCACCAGGAGGGGAGCGAGATCTGAAGGAAAGTGTGGGAAACTCACCTGTTGGACTCTGTGTAGGAGTTTATTGCCCCAAATCCCTCCTTGGACAGTGGGCAGCAGAGGACCGTCTGTTCCACATGCTGAGGGCTTCCCTGTGTGTGTGGTGGTGACTCAGGAAGGGGGCGTGTTGATTCTGAGCATTAAACAGCATCTTTTCCACTTTCAGGGTCGACTTGAAAGACTCATATTGCCTGAGGAAGAAGCCCTGAAGAGGAGGAAGAGGAAAGAAAGAAGAGTCTGGAATGGCTCTTTCTCAGGTAAAGTCATATTCTCAGTTGTTTCTTCTGTCTATCCTTCCTGAAATGCCCTTCTTTGGACTCACTGATCTTGTCTGACTCTGAAGTATCCTGCCTGACACCTGTACATTCATAGCCACCCGGGGCCTTCCCTCAGGGCCTGTTATCTCCACTTAGATTCTGTCTCATGATGACCCAGTGACGTGGAGCTTGAAGAAGCTCCATTGTGGTCATCAAGAGACAACTCTTATTTCAGTAAATTTAAGTGTGTATATGTGTGTGCATGAGTGCATGGATGCTCAAGCCCATGGTTTTTATAAAATACATATCATTATTTCTGAATAGGTTAGGTTTGGGAATTCCCTGGCGGTCCAGTGGTTAAGACTCCATGCTTCCACCGCAGGGGGCACAGGTTCAGTCCCTGGTCGGGGAACTAAGATCCCACAAGCTGCATGGCGCGGCCAAAAAAATTATAAATAAATAAATAAGTTATATATTATTTAGTTGTTGAAATTATATCATAAGTATTTTTCATTGCATTAAATTTTTTCTACACTATGACATTAATGAGTTAAATAGTTATAAAAAGAGTAACATGTATGTGCGTGTGTGTGCATGTCTGCATGATGACATTTTATGTAATTCTAGGTTGTCAGCCATGAATTTGTTTCAAGTTTCTTCAGGGAACCCTCTGTCAATGTACCTTTGATGCTTTTATATGACTTAAATTCTTTACGTTTAAATTCAGAATCTAAACACCTGGGTTTATATGTTTGTTCTACCATCTTTAGCAGTTTGACCTGAGGCAAATTTCTTAGAATGTCCGTGACACAGCTGTCTCTGCCTTAAGATGGAAGGGACCAGATCTTTTTTTTTTTTAATTGTTTTAAATTTTATATTGGAGTATAGTTGATTAACAATGTTGTGTTAGTTTCAGGTGTACAACAAAGTGATTCAGTTATACATACACAGGTATCTGTTCTTTTTCAAATTCTTTTCCCATTTAGGTGATTACAGAGTATTGGGCAGGGTCGCTTGTGCTATACAGTAGGTTCTTGTTGGTTATCTATTTTATTTTATTTTTAAAAATTTATGTATTTATTTATTTATTTTATTGGGTCTTTGTTGCTGCGCATGGGCTTTTCTGTAGTTGCGGCGAGTGGGGGCTACTCTTCGTTGCGGTGCGCGGGCTTCTCATTGTGGTGGGCTCTCTTGTTGCAGAGCACGGGCTCTAGGCGCGCGGGCTCAGTAGTTGTGACTCGTGGGCTCTAGAGTGCAGGCTCAGTAGTTGTGGCGCACAGGCTTAGTTGCTCCGCGACATGTGGTATCTTCCTGGACCAGGGCTTGAACCCATGTCCCCTGCATTGGCAGGAGGATTCTCAGCCACTGCGCCACCAGGGCAGTCCCTGGTTATCTATTTTAAACATAGCACTGTGTGTATTGTCAATCCCAAACTCCCAATTTATCCCTCCCCACCCCTGACCAGATCTTTTTATTATGTTTTTTTTAATTTTACTTATTTATATATTTTAAAAGTAATTTTTATTGGAGTATAGTTGATTTACAGTGTTGTGTTAGTTTCAGGTGTGCAGCGAAGTGAATCAGTTATACATATATCCATTCTTTTTCAGATTCTTTTCCCATATAGGTTATTACAGACTGTTGAGTAAAGTTCCCTGTGCTGTACAGTAGGTCCTTGTTGGCTATCTATTTTATATGCAGTAGTGTGTGTATGTTAATCCCAAACTCCTAATTTATCCCCACACCCACACCCCGTTTCCACTTTGGTAACCATAAGTTTGTTTTCTATGTCTGTGAGTCTGTTTCTGTTTTGTTTATTTATTTATTTTAATATTTTAATTTTATTGGAATATAGTTGATTTACAATGTTGTGTTACTTTCAGGTGTGCAGAAAAGTGAATCGGTTATACATGTATCCACTCTTTTTTAGATTCTTTTCAAATTTTTTTCAAATTTTTTTAAATTAATTTTTATTGGAGTAGAGTTGGTTTACCATGTTGTGTTAGTTTCTACTGTACAGCAAATGAATCAGCTATACGTATACATATATCCCCTCTTTCTTGGATTTCCTTCCCATTTAGGTCACCAGAGCATTAAGTAGAGTTTCCTGTGCTAGACAGTATGTTCTCATTAGTTATCTATTTTATAAGTAGTATCAATAGTGTGTATGTGTTAATCCCAATCTCCCAATTCCTCCCACTCCCCCCCTTTTCCCCCTTGGTATCCATACATTTATTTTCTACATCTGTGTCCCTATTTCTGCTTTGCAAATAAGATCATCTATACCATTTTTCTAGATTCCAGATATATACATTAATATATGATACTTATTTTTCTCCTTCTGACTTACTTCACGCTGTATGACAGTCTCTAGGTCCATCCGGGTCTCTACAAGTGACCCAATTTCGTTTCTTTTTATGGCTGAGTAATATCCCATTGTATATATGTACCACATCTTCTTTATCCATTCCTCTGTTGATGGACATTTAGGTTGCTTCCATGTCCTGGCCATTGTAAATAGTGCTGCTGTGAACATTGGGGTGCATATGTCCTTTTGAATTATGGTTTTCTCGGGGTATATGCCCAGTAGTGGGATCGCTGGGTCAGATATTTTTAAATTTGGTATTACGTTATTATATGAGTTAGTACATGCAAAGTATTTAGAGGAATGCGTAGCACATGAGGAGTGTTCAAACACTTTTTGAGATTACTGTTGCTGTCATCACCGTTTCTTTAAAGCCACTATAGACGTTGTCTTCTTTGAAGATGTCATTCCTGCTCTTGTTCCTCTAGACATTGAATATAACTTGGTGTGTGGAGCATATCTCACATTTCTATACAGATAATCCTGTGTTGATTGTGTGTGTGTGTTTCTTGTATTGTCCACAAAAATGGGAAGTCCACACTGATTTAGAGGCTATCATAACCTCTTACGGAAAAGTGTAATAAACCAAAATTAGGGACACATAACTTGCTCAAAAATACCATAAGTGGATCTGTAACAATACTCACTTCAGTCCAATCGATCCTTTCCCCTCTCTCTCCTCTTCTCATTTTGTGTGAAAATAAGGACTCTCCTCATGGCCCGTTGGTGAAATGTGTTTTCATTTCAGACACAGTTGACATTCAAGGATGTGGCCATAGAATTCTCTCAGGAGGAGTGGGAATGCCTGGACCCTGCTCAGAGGGCCTTGTACAGGGACGTGATGTTGGAGACCTACGGGAACCTGCTCTCCCTGGGTGAGGATAACTTCCCTCCAGAAGTCGGGACCTGTCCTTGGGTATCTTTGCATTTTCCCTTGTGTGCCTCTTGGGAACCCCTACATTGCCTGCCTGAGATCAAAGCCCTGTTGACTCAGAAATGAAAAGCTTCATAGTGTAGCATGAGGACTTTGAACTTGTCCTTTCTTCATATGATCTTCCCATTTCATGATCAAGGGTGATTCCAGAGCTTAAATATGCATAAAATCTTATGGCAAACTGAAAATATCCAGTTCCCTCTTTTCGACCCCTGTGCTTTTGATCCAGTAGTTCTTGGAAGAGAGCTAGATGTCTGCATATTATACTACGCTCTGTGCATTCAGAAGGAGACAATCAGTGGGTGAATTTTTGAAATTGTTTGTTTAGCTTTATTGAGATATAATTGTCAAATAAAATTGTGATATATTTAAAGTGTACAGCGCGATGATTTTATATACATATGCATTGTGAAAGGATTCCCATCAGGTTAATTAATATACGTTACCTCACATACTTTTCTTTTTTCTTGGGGAGAACACTTAAGTTCTACTCTCGTAGCACATCTCAGTTTTATAGTATTATCCACTATAGTCATCACGTTTTACATGAAATGTTCAGACCTTATTCATCTTATGACGGAAATTGTGTGCCCTTTTATCAACCTTTCCCCATTTCCATAACCCCCAGCCCCGGGCAGCAGTTATGCTACTCTGTGTTTCTAGACCTGGTTTCTTCCCTCATCATTGTACTCCCTCCCACTGATTGACTGATTGATGGCTGCGCCGGGTCTCAGTTGCGGCATGTGGGCTCCTTAGTTGCGGCATGCATGCGGGATCTAGTTCCCTGACCAGGGATCGAACCCAGGCCCCCTGCATTGGGAGCGTAGACTCTTACCCGCTGGACCGCCAGGGAAGTCCCTGCACTCCCTCCCTTTCAGATCTCTTCCTTTTTGCCCCATGTCCTATAGTTAAGAATGGGACAACATTATGCTACTTGCTAAGTCAGTTTCTCTTTTTTCCTAAGTCAACATTTTAAGTGTCCGAATGCATTTATCTTCCTACAGATTGGCAAGTACACACACTGCCCACATGCCCACTAATTCCTAGCCTCTACGCTTATTAACATTTTTTTATTCTCTTTTTTTTAATTGAAGTGTACTTGATTTACAGTGTGTTAATTTCTGCTGTTCAGTGGAGTGATTCAGTTTTATATATATATATATATATATATATATATATATATATACACACACATTCTTTTTCACATTGTTTTCTGTTGTAGTTTTCTTATGACGGGGCCGAAAGTAAGCTCATCACACGAGATGAATTGTGCAGAAGCACAGCAGTAGAGGGCTGCTGCTCGCTCAGGCAATACAGCGCCGTCTGTCCTGCTGTGGTGACTTTTATTTAAGCATTATCTATGTTTACATCTTAAGACTTGTTTTCTTAACATTCCAGAAATGCCAAAGCAGCAACATATGCTTTTATTTATTATACAAGCAACAATGGGCTTTCTTGAAGACATGCCGTGCTTCGTCCTTGAGGCCATAAGCAGCACAAGGACATCTCCTTGTGTTCCCATCATTCTGATTGTACTAAAGTAGCACAAGGGCGTTTCCTTGTGTTCTGATTATACTGAGGTCATTTCATGGATCAGTGCCCAAAGTATCCAGGACTGCCTGCAGTCCTGGCTTATTCGCCCACCCTCGGTTTGCCGAGGGGGGGCTCACGGGTCACGTCTCCTTTCCGTGTCCTCAGTTATTCCACTACAGTTTCCATTATGGTTTACCCCAGGTTATTGAATATAGTTCCCTTGCTTATTTTTCAAAACACATTGTTTGTTTTCTTAGCTTTGAGAGCTCTTTGTATAACCTGGACACAAGTCCATGGTGAGATATCTATCGTGCACGTATTTTCCCCTAGTCTGTAGCTGGTGTTTTCATTTTCTTAACAGTGTCTTTTTTAAAGAACTTTTAAAAAATTGAAGTATAGTTGGGAATTCCCTGAAGGTCCAGTGGTTAGGACTCTGCACTCTCAATGCTGAGGGCCCAGGTTCAATCCCTGGTCGGGGAACTAAGATCTCGCAAGCCGCTTGGCGAAAAAAAAAAAAAAAATTGAAGTATAGTTGATTTACAGTGTTGTGTTAATTTCTGCTGTACAGCAAAGTGATTCAGTTATACCTATATATACATCCTTTTTTATATTCTTTTCCATTATGATTTATCACACAACATTGAATATAGTTCCCTGTGCTGTACAGTAGGACTTCGTTGTCTGTTCATTCTGTATATAGTAGTTTGCATCTGCTAATCCCAAACTCCCAATCCATATCTCCCCTGCTCACCCTCCCTCTTGGCAACCACATGTCTGTTCTCTATGTCTGTGAGTCTGTTTCTGTTTCATTTGTGCCTTTTTTTTTTTTTTTTTTGCCGTGTGGCTTGCAGGATCTTAGTTCCCCCACCAGCGATTGAACCCTCACCCTCAGCAGTGAAAGCACAGAGTCCTAACCACTGGACCGCCAGGGAAGTCCCATGTGCCGAATTTTAGATTCCACATATGAGTGATATCACATGGTATTTGTCTTTCTCTTTCAAAAAGTCAGTAGTCTTAACGTAAATTTCAGTTCTCGTTTTGTTGGTTCTGGAACAGAAGCCTTGCTTTTTTTTGTCTTCAGAAGGATTTGTTGAGAATTTCACAAACAATAGTTTCGTATAATTGCGGTTGCTTATTACTTATACCCTGGTTTTATCATAGCTTACTAGAATGTTTTATTTACTAATTTTCTTTTTTTTTAATTGAAGTATAGTTGATTTACAATGTTGTGTTAATTACTGCTGTCCAGCAGAGTGACTGAGTTACACCTACACATATATACATTCTTTTCCATATTCTTTTCCATCATGTTTTATCACTGTTTGCTAACTTTCATTATGATTTATAGACGATGGCTTTTCAGTGGGTATTATGCAGTATAACTGACTCACATCCCTGGTTAGTGTTGCAGAATGGCCATTCTGAGTGAATATAGTTCTACGACTTTTATAACTGGTATTCGGAGAATTACTGTATTTTTATAACATTGTTTTATTAAACTTCATTTCCACTTCTAAATTGCCATTTATTTCTATTACTCATTAGTTAAAATTATGGCTTATTTACCATTAGAGTACTGTGCTTTAGCATTTATTGGTGCACAGTCGATATGCAGTAAATATGTGTAATATCTTTATCTCTTCAAATCTGAAACCGCCGTATGTTTTCTGTGAAGTGGTGTGTGCTTTGGGGTCATGGTACAAAAATACCCCTTCTTTCAGGGCTAACATGGGTACACTATGGGTGTTTCAGCCATTGATTGTTTAAAGTAGGCTTCCCTAAAATTAATTTGAAATACATGTAATCACCCTTTCTCTCTCTTTTTTTTTTCCTAATTTATTCATTTTTGGCTGCATTGGGTCTTCGTTGCTGCACGTGGGCTTTCTCTAGTTGCGGTGAGCAGGGGCTATTCGTTGCGGTGCGCAGGCTTCTCATTGTGGTGGCTTCTCTTGTTGTGGAGCATGGGCTCTAGGCACGTGGGCTTCAGTAGTTGTGGCACGTGGGCTCAGTAGTTGTGGCTCGCGGGCTCTAGAATGCAGGCTCAGTAGTTGTGGTGCATGGGCTTAGTTGCTCTGTGGCATGTGGGATCTTCCCGGACCAGGGATCGAACCGTGTCCCCTGCATTGGCAGGCGGCTTCGTAACCACTGCGCCACCAGGGAAATCCCACCCTTTCTTTATGAAAGAATCTCATTCCCTTTGTGTTCCTAAAAACTGAAGATCATGGTTGCAACATTTCTTAACTGTTCAAAATATGTAGTACTTCTGATACAATATTATGTTCTTCAATATGAAATATTTCTTTCAAACTGTAATTAATAGGAGACATACGATTCTTTATGTCTTGTAGATACCTCTCTTAAATGTGTGATCGAGGAATCCGCACCAAAAGAGAACAGTCATACAGGGGAAGTGTTGCAAACAGTGTTGTTGGAAAGACATGAAAGCTGTGAGACTGAGGACTATGGCTATAGGGAAATCCAGAAAAATGAGCGTGACTTTGAGTACCAGTGGAGAAGTGACAAAAGAAATTACAGAGGAGTGCCTGTCACCCATAAAAAAAATCTCACTGGTAGAAGAGATCAACATGGTAGAAGAGATGAAGGAGACAAGCCTATTGAAAACAGGCTCGGACTAAGCTTTCAGTCACATCTGGCCGAACTGCAGATGTTTCCAACTGAAGGGCCATTGTATGAGTATCATCAAGTTGAGAAGTCTAACAGCAGTGGTTCCTCATTGTCAGTACTTCAGAGAATTCTTCCGAGTGTCCAAACCAGCATTTTTAATGAATATGGGAATGATTTCTGGCATTCTTCATTACTCACAGAAGACCAGAAAGCATACATTAGGGAAAAACCTTACAAATGTGATGAATATGACAAAGCAGTTAATCATGGCTCACAACTCACTAACCATCAGGTAATCCACACAGGTGTGAAACCTTACAAATGTAATGTATGTGGCAAAGCCTTTAATCAGAGCTCACATCTCACTAGACATCAAAGAATCCACACAAGAGGGAAACATCACAAGTGTGAGGAATGTGGTAAGGGCTTCAGTTACAGTTCACACCTTCTGCGTCATCGCAGAATTCATACCGGAGAGAAACCCTACCAGTGTAGCGAGTGTGACAAAGCCTTTAGTGTGTATTCAAGTCTTATTTATCATCAGGTCGTCCATACTAGAGAGAAACCGTACAAATGTAATGAGTGTGGCAAAGTCTTTAGTCAGAGTTCAAGCCTTACTAATCATCGCAGGATTCACACTGGAGAGAAACCTTACAAATGTAATAAATGTGGCAAAGCCTTTAATCAGAGCTCCCACCTCACTCGACATCAGGTCATGCACACTGGAGAGAAACCCTACAAATGCAGTGAGTGTGGGAAGGTCTTCACTCAGAACTCAAGCCTCGTAAGTCATCGGAGAATTCATACTGGGGAGAAGCCGTACAAATGCAACGAGTGCGGCAAAGCATTTGGTGTGTATTCAAGTCTTACTTATCATCAGGTCACCCATACTAGAGAGAAACCTTACAAGTGTAATGAGTGTGGCAAGGTCTTCAGTCAGAGTTCAAGCCTTCCTAGTCATCGCCGGATTCATACCGGAGAGAAACCTTACAAATGTAATCAGTGTGGCAAATCCTTTATTCATTGCTCAAACTTCAACAGACACAAGAAAATCCACACTGGAGAGAAACCTTACCAATGCAGTGAGTGTGGCAAGGTCTTCACTCAAAACTCAAGCCTCATAAGTCATCGGAGAATTCATGCTAGAGAGTAACCTGACCGATGTAACGAGTGTGGCAAAATAACACAAGTTCAAGCATGGATTGACACCAGAGAGTCCACACTAAAGAGAAGTTACATCAGTGTAACATATAGGACAGAGGACTTGTACAGACTTCGCAACTCACTAGACATCAGATATACATCTTTGATGAAGCGCAAGAATGTAATGTGTGTATAAAGGCTCTTATCTGTAGATCAAAACTACAGAACATTGCAAGATTCCTACTGGAGAGCAGCTTTACAAATGTAATGAATGTGGGAAGGCTTTTTATTAAACATTCATGGCTTTGATGTCATGAGAGGATTTATACCTGAGAGAAACCAGGGAAATTTTTTTTTTTTTTTTAGGTACGCGGGCCTCTCACTGCTGTGGCCTCTCCCGTTGCGGAGCACAGTCTCCAGACGCGCAGGCCCAGCGGCCATGGCTCACGGGCCCAGCCGCTCTGCGGCATGTGGGATCTTCCCGGACCGGGGCACGAACCCGTGTCTCCTGCATCGGCAGGCGGACTCTCAACCACTGCGCCACCAGGGAAGCCCAGGGAAATTTACTGAATGTGGAAAGGCCTTTAAGCAACAGTGTCCCCTCAGGATTCACCAAAGAATTCATAATGGAAAGAAGCCTTACAAAAGTAATGAATATTTAAAATTTCTTCAAGACTTTTTGCAACAGAATCCACATCAGAGCATTCACATGAGGAATAACTAAGTCTCAAGTTTAGTCTGAAATATTGCATACTGCAGAATAAAATTAAAAGTCAAAATATGTTAAAACTTAGGTAGATATATAGATAGATTCTGAGGATGTTATCCTATGGTTTCTTTTCTAAATCTCTTACAGTTTAAAATAGTATGGTTTTACATTTCACGTTTAAAGCTATGACCAATTTTGAGCTAATATTTGTACAGGTGTGAAGTTTTGATGGAGATTCATTTTTTTTTTCCTAGTATGGAAGATCAGTTGATATGGTGTAATTTTTTTCAGATTCTTGCTTCATTCAGTTTTCTTGGTACCTTTGTCAAAACTCAGTTGCAAGTAATTGTGTGGGGCTATTTCTGGGTTCTCTGTTTTGTTCCATCGTTCTGTATGTCTCACTCCACAAAATCAGTCTTGATTACTTTTTATCTTATTAGAAGTTTTGAATTGAATGAGTGATTCCAACCAATTTATTCTTCTTCAGATATTTTAGCTATTCTAGTTCCTTTTGCCTTTCCATATAAGTTTTAGAAAAATCTTGTTTGTGCCTACAAAATATCTTGATAGAAAATGCATTAAGCCTGCCTATCAGTTTGCGATCATTTGACATCATTTCTATGTTAGGCCTTCCAATAAATGGCTGTAGTATGTCTTTTTATTTGTCTGATCTTTGGTTTCTTTCACCAGTATTTTATAGATTTCAGCATCAAAATCCTGTCAACGTTTTGTTTGATTAACACATTTCTACTTTTTTCTTTTTTGAATAATCGGACATGTTATTTTTAACTTGTTTCCATGTGTTAATTGCCACTATATAGAAATACAATAGATTTTTGAATGTTGATCTTGTATCCTCAGAACTTACTAGTCTCACTTATTCTAGAGGTATTCGCAGATGACTTGGACTTGTCTGTATATATCATTTCATTAGTTTCCTAATGCAGCTTGTTGACGAAAATTCAATTATCTATCAAGAAGAAAAAAAAAAGGGGGAATTTTATGCACGCCAAATTGAGGGCTATAATCCAGGAAGCAGATTCTCCGAAAGCTCTGAGAACTGTTCCAGCTGTTAGAGTTCAAGGTACAGTCGTACACATTTTCGAGACAAAGGATCGTGCATCAGAATGACATACTGATACTTGACATAAAGTTCACCAAGGATACGTAGTCCAGGTGAGTACATACAACGCGAGCAGCAAGTCACCATGACCCCCTACAGAGTTGGGAAAGAACGCTATTCTTGTAAGAAGTTAAATTGCTAGTGTCAAAAGAAAGGAAAAAAATTTGACCTCTCCGGTTGGTTGGGCAGGCACTCCCACCTTTGAGGAGCTGTGGTTAATGTGTAATGCAGATGCACACTGCACATTTGGGAGGGAGGAGGCCCAAACAGAATTTTATGTTAATTTTTTTCTTGTTTTGCCTTAAAATATAAATTTTATTTCATCAGGCGGTAAGAAATTACCACAGACTAGGTGGATTAAAACAATAAAATTTATTCTCTTTCAGTTCAGGTCAGACATCTAAAATGGGTATGTTAACAGAACTGTAACCCTGACATTCCAGGGAGGAATTTATTTCCTTGCACTTTGCCAATTCTGCAGACTGCTTATACGCTTTGCCGCTTCATCCATCGTCAAAGTCAGCCAGGTACCATCTTAATATCTTTTTATCTCTGTCCTGCTTCCACCACGGTAGTAGCTTCTATGTGGCCAAGTCCAACTGCATCCTTCTTATTCAACCCCTTCCGATTATACCATGTTTATCGGATAATCCAGGATAATCTCTCATCTCAAGATCCTTAACACTTGAAGGTTACAGGGGTGAGGATGTGGCTGTCCTTCGGTGGCGGGAGGTGATTGTTCCACCCACCACCACAGTGGTACCTCCCGCTGATGGATACACTGTTATATCTTCTTTCTGTTCTTTATCACTTCTATTTCCTTTTATTCCCTTATTTCATTGGCTGTAACTTCTAATTGCATGTTGACTAACAGTGGTAAGAGCGGACATCCTTGTCTTATCCTCAGTCTCTGTGGGGGAAGCGTTCAGTCTTTCACCATTAAGAATGATGTTTGTTGTAAGGTAAGCTTTCTTAGGTGTTCTTTATTGAGTTGAGGAAATTTCCCTCTATTCCTGGTTCTCTGAAAGCTTAAACTGAGTGTTGAATATCGTCAAATGCTTTTTCTGCATCAATTGATAGGATGCTGTGATTTTTCCACTGTAATCTGTTGCTACTGTGATTTATGTTGATTGGTTTTTAAACGTTAAAACAGCCTTGCATCCCTTGAGTGGACCCCTTTTGGTCATCGTGTACAGTTCTTTCTATATATTGTTTGTTTGTTTGTTTTAAATATTTATTTATTTGGCTGTACCAGGTCTTAGTTGCGGCACACGGGATCTTCAGTTGCAGCATGTGGGATCTAGTTCCCTGACTAGGGATCGAACCTGGGCCCCCTGAATTGGGAGTTTGGAGTCTTAGCCACTGGACCACGAGGGCAGTCCCTCTTTCTATATATTGCTAATTTCTGTCACTAATATTTTGTAAGAATTTTTGCATATTTTTATGTGGGATTTAGTAGTTATTGCTTTCTTCAAATGCCTTTATTTTTGTTACCATGGTAATAGTAGTCTCAGAAATTGAGTTAAAAAGTATTCATGGTCTATTTTCTGGAAGAAATTGTATATAAATGCTGTTATTCTTCATACATTTGATAGAATTGCCTAGTGTCACCAGTTGAGTCTAGCAATAAGTTTGGGAGGGGCACTTTTTTTGAGGTAAGAACACTTAACATGAGTACTACCATGTACAGTATTGTTAGCTATAGGTAGTATGTCATATTGTAGATCTCCAGAACTTACTTATCTTGTATAACTGAAACTTTGTACCCTTTGAACACCATCTCCCCATTTCCCTCTCTGCTAATCCCTGGCAACCAACATGCTACTCTGATTCTATGAGTTTGACTATTTTAGGTTCCACATAAAAGTGAGATCATACAGTATTTTTCTCCATCGGTCTTGTTTCACTTAGCATAGAGTCCTCCAGGGCTATCCATGTTGTTGAACAATGACAGGATTTCCTTCTTTGTTAAGACTGAATAAGAGTGCATTGCATGTTTATAAAACATTTTCTATATCCATTCTTGTGTTGATGCTCATTTAAGTTGTTTCTATACTTTGATTATTGTGAATAATGCTGCAGTGAACATAGGAGTACTGGTACTTCTATGAGATCCTGATTTTATTTCCTTTGGATATATAACCAGCAGTGGGATTGTTGGGTCATATGGTAGTTCTATTTATAATTTTTGGAGAACCCACCATACTGTTTTCTGTAGTGGCTGTACCGCTGTTCCCTTTTATCAAATATCCTTGGCAACATTTGTTATCATTTGTTTCTTTAAGAATCATCTTAGAGACTTCCTGGTGGTGCAGTGGTTAAGAATCCGCCTGCCAATGCAGGGGACATGGGTTCGAGCCCTGGTCCGGGAAGATCCCACATGCCATGGAGCAGCTAAGCCCATACACCACAACTACTGAGCCTGCTCTCTAGAGCCTGCGAGCCACAACTACTGAGCCCGTGTGCCACAACTACTGAAGCCTGTGCGCCTAGAGCCCGTGCTCCGCAGCAAGAGAAGCCACCACAATGAGAAGCTCGCACATCACAAGGAAGAGTAGCCCCTGCTCTCTGCAACTAGAGAAAGCCCGCGTGCAACAACGAAGACCCAGTGCAGCCAAAAATAAATAAATAAATATATAAATAAATTTATTAAAAAAATAAATGATAAGCATTCTAACAAGTATGAAATGATATAGCATGGTGGCTTTGATTTGCTTTTCCCTGATTAGTGATGTTGGGTATCTTTTCATATACCTGCTGACCATTTGTATGTCTTCTTTTGAGAAATGTCTGTTTAGGTCCTTTGCCCATTCTTTAATTGGATTATTTGGGGGAGTTTGCTATTGAGATGAGTTCCTTACGTATTTTGGATATTAACCCCCTATCAAATATATGGTTTGCAAATATTTTCTCCCATTCTGTAGATTGCCTTTTCACTCTTTTTTAATTTTATTATTATTTTTTAAATTATTTATTTATTTGGCTGCACCGGTCTTAGTTGCGGCATGTAGGATCTTTAGTTGTGGCATGCAGGATCTTTAGTTGTGGCATGCAGGATCTAGTTCCTTGACCAGGTATCAAACCTGGGTCCCCTGCATTAGGAGCGTGGAGTCTTAGCCACTGGACCACCAGGGAAGTCCCTGCCTTTTCACTCTTTTTTTTTTTTTTTTTTTAAATTATTTATTTGGCTGCGTTGGGTCTTTGTTGCTGCATACAGGCTTTCTCTAGCTGCAGCGAGCGGGGGCTACTCTTTGTTGTGGTGCGCAGGCTTCTCATTGTGGTGGCTTCTCTTGTTGCAGAGCACGAGCTCTAGGTGTGTGGGCTTCAGTAGTTGTGGCACACAGGCTCAGTAGTTGTGGCACATGGGCTTAGTTGCTCCGCAACATGTGGGATCTTCCCAGACCAGGGTTCGAAACCGTGTCTCCTGCATTGGCAGGTGTATTCTTAACCACTGCGCCAACAGGGAAGCCCTACATTACATCTTGTATGTTGTTACTTTACATTTTTTCCCAAGAACATTGTCTCTGAC